GGCTGGCTGCTCAGCAAGCTTTAGGGATCTGTCTGTCTCCCCACTGCTAGGTTTACAAGCTCATGCTACCACACCCACCTTCTCTTTGGGTTCTGGGGCATTGGACTCCGGTTCTCATGCTTGTCTGGCAAACACTTTATGACTGAGCCATCAGCACTACTCACTTATTTTTAAAACTATAAATGCTAATGGAGAGGGAGAGATGAAAGAGAAGTGGGGGAGGTGGGGGGAGGGCAGGAAAGGAAGAATAGATTACCAGTCTCTGCAGTGCCTAGAAAAGTCCTGTGAGACCTGGGACAGTGGCCAAGGGTGGCCTTGAGCAAGAAAAGTAGAGCCAGACTACCACAAGCCTGTGGAGGACAGACAAAGCTAAGGCTTGATTCCTGGACTTCTCTGGGCTGCACTTCCTGCCCTTGGGTTTCCCCATTGATTCACAAAATACTTACTGAATGCCTGCAGTTGCCAGGCAGAGTCAACAAGACAGAGACTGTGTCCTCAGAGGCCCCACACTTCAAATCTATGAGTACACACTGTGTGGTACTTTGGATGGTAGGACAGAGAAAAAGCAGAGAGAGGTGTAAAAATAGTAAGGCTTCGGGCTTGAAAGGGGTGTCAGAGAAAGTAACCAGAAATCTGGGAGAAGGGCAGGGAACAAGCAAGGCCCCTGTGGTTGGAGCAAGTGGGGGAGGAAGAGTGAGTGAGTGAGGGCCAGGAAGCACTGGGAAGGGACTTCCACCTCAGAGGGCCTGTGACCAGAGATGGGAAACTGTGAGTGGATTCTGAGCAAGAGCCACACAAGCTAATTTACATGTTAAAGCAGTGATTCTCAACCTTCCTAACGCTGGGACCTTTTAATACAGTTCCTCATGTTGTGGTGATCCCCCCAACCATAAAATTATTTCGTTGCTACTTCATAACTGTAATTTTGCTACTGTTATGAATTGTAATGTAAATATCTGATATACAGGATATCTGATATGAGACCCATTATCCACCCCAAGGAGGTCACAATCCAAAGGTTGATTTGGATTAATCAACCTGTGTTAAAGGATGGTTCTGGCTGCTACAGGCAAGAGTTATGAGAACTGGCAAATAAAATTTCATGATGTTAGTTGTGCACAGTGGTGAAGACTTGTACTTGGGAAGCAGATGTAGGAGGATCACAAGTTTAAGGCCAGCCGGGGCTACGTACAACTACATAAGTGCTCCAAGCCAAGCAGGGCTGCACAGTGAGACCTGCTTCAAAATGACAACAAAACAAAATATTAAAAAACAAAAACCTTCACACTGTCCAGTAAAATCTGGGTTTCAGGTAAATACTTGTTAGTATAAGTATATTCTATATATTTGTGAAATTTATACTAAAAAAAATATCCTTCGCTCATGCTTATCTGCAATGAAAATGTTATCTCTCATGTCCTATTTGGCCCCACCTGAACATGGAAAAAAGGTCTGGGGCATAAAAGTGAAAGCAAGAAAGTGAGCAAAGATGTGTTTTAGTTTACCAGGTGAGAGAGAAGCGTGGTTCTCACTGGGAAGGGAGGCAGAGGGCAGGTTGATGAGATCCAGTTGAACTCCATATGTATATACACCCTCCTCCCTTTATGTCAGCTGTGTTAATTTATTGTACCACAAAAAAAAAAAATAGAGAGAAAGGATGGTGGTCAGTGCAGAGGATGTGGGCAGGACCTCCTAGCATAAGGGAAGGAAGTGGATTTTACCACAAGCTTCCTATCATTTTAGGGAAACCATGAAAATAGAATAAATTCACCCAAAGGTGAAGTTACCCAGAAAAGTCCCTCTCCTTCCTGCTCAGGGACATGGTGGTCAGCCCTTGTGGAGTGACAGGAAGAACTCTGGCTGTGACATTTCCTTTTTGGTACCCTGTCCTTTAGCTGGGTGCCAGCAAGCAGCTCTTAGGAGGGGGAGGTGTAGGAGAGAGACTGTTGGGGAACTGTCAACTGTGATGCATCATAGTGTTTGGATCTTTTGTTGTGAGCCAGTTTGCTGAGGATTCTTGAAGTATAGGGGTCAGCACCTACAGATTGTTAGCACCCAAAAGCCATGAGACCCCCCTGGACCAGTATACTGAGTCCCGGTAGGTGCACTTTGTCTAAGGTGGTACCATCCCTTTTTGAGGTTGTTATATAAATCATGTCCTTTTATCCCTGTCTGTGTCAATATGTGTTTTCTAAAATATAAATATTCCCCATAAAACATTTTGTGTGTTTATGGCTATGTTTTGTTTGTTGAGATGATCTCATGTCAGCAAGGCTGACCTTGAGCTGATCCTCCAGCCTTCACCTCCCAAATTTTGTTATTGTTTCATAGATTATCATATTCATATTGCATTTTTATCAGAACAGATAGAAATGTTGCATCATGAGACCCTGTTTTGATTTTTATTTTGATTCTAGGCATGCCCCATCACACCTGGCTGAAAAGAGTTTATTTGAGACAGAATATGAATAAAATCTAAAAGTAGCAGACCTACAGACAGACATCCCCCATCAGGTCATCCTCAGTAGTCCCACACTCTGGGCAGTGAGGAAGCCTAGCCTTGCCTTTTAACCATACACACCCTGCTTTCTTATAGCCGCCTTGGGTCTGTCTGGAGTAGCACACCCTTGTTTGGCTGTTTTCCAAAGGGTCTTTAAGGAAAAAAAACTCAGGGTCTCCAAGTTCTATCTTTCTAAATTGTCCACTTTCTCTTCCACTCCCCAAGATGCCAGTTTGGGTACATGCTAAATGAGAGCCCCCACTGTATCCACCTAAGCTGTACCAGGGGTTGTGTATGCAGAGGATCCTTTGTGCCCAGGGCACAGGGCTCCTTGTGTACAGGAGCCTCCTATGTTGGGATCTCTGCCTCCTCACTGTGAGCAGGAGAAGAGGAGGGAGCTGGGAGGTGAACCTCCTGTGCAGAATCCTGCAGCAGTATTCTTTCATCCTTGGCTGCAAGACGGCAGGGCCCTGGGCAAAATGCAAGTGCAGGGCCTCCTTGCTCAGAATACAGAAAACACTACCAAAGATCCTGAACTTTGAATGTTTTTCTTTCTTCTTTATTTATTGTGCCATTTTATTTGCTACTTAATGTCATTTTAAGGGAAGGGAAAATGAAAATTTTCCAGTTAGTATGAATTCCACTATTCATCACTATATTCCTCCCTGCTGTTTTAAAAGAAAATGTAAGAGTATTTAACTCACATACAAAATTATGAGAAGTTTATAGTTTGTTTCATAGACTAACAAATGCATGTTGTATTTTTATCAGAACAAATAGAAATGTTGTGTCATGTGACCTTGTTTTGTTTTTGTTTTGAGCCAGGATTTCATTTCACCTACACTGGCCTTGATCTCCATGT